ACATTCCAAGAGTCTTAAAGAGCAGTCGTGAGTATGTTAAGTCAGATGCAGAAGTTGATAGCAGAGAGCTATTAAAAGGAACTAAATACTGCCCAAGATAACTTTAGTGCTTTATCTGCAACATTGCATCTCTTCACAGTCACAATGTTTTTCGGTCTGCTCTTGAATATGGATGTGGCTTTTTCAGAGAACTTGAGTTCATAGTTTTATAAGTTGATTGTCTAAGGTATTTTGTCATAGTAACAGAAAGCTGACTAATATGGACTGCAATAGCCTCCTAAGTGATCTCTTTTTTTCTACTCCTGGAGATTCTTTAACATGTAGCCACAGTGATCCTTCTAAGTTATGATCAATGTCATGTCCAAAGCCTACAGTGACTTCCATTTCATTCAGTCTTAAATACCGTACATGACCTGGCCCTTGCATTTCTCTGACCTCCTTTCCTGCCTTCTCACCTTCACCCTTTTTTTCCCATAATTGACCTCTCCACCTTTCCTGGAACACCTGGTCATGTTCCTGCCTGATCTCCCTTGTACTGGCTGTTCTTTCTGCTTGGGCAGCCTTTCCTCAGGTAGCAACATGCATGGGTAATTCCCACTACTTCCAGCTCTTCACTTAGGAACATTTTCCCAGGAAGACCTCCTCTCTGCATGCCCCTCCCACTTCACTCCTAATCCTCTACCTTTATCGACCTTTTATTTTTGCTATGGAGTTTATTATCTTTGAATATACTCCTGGTTTACTTATTAACTTTTCTTCTCCAGCTAGAATGAGTTTCAAAAGAAAGGGATCTTTGCCTCTTCTGTCCACTGATGTAGCCCAAGCACCTGAAACAGTGTTCAGCAACTAATGGATGATTATTAAAAATTTGCTGTTCATTTCTTAATGAGTAAGGAGGTGTCGAATTTGATGTTCCAATGGTTTGAAGCTGCAAAGTTACACTTTTGGCCTACTAAGGCTAAAAATGAAGTTCATAGCCTCCCCACGAATGCACACAAGCTCCTTTGAGTCCCATTAACACATCTTTTGGGCTTTGAAGCCTTGTCTATCTCTTAGCTCTGTTTTCCTTTTTTTCCAAGGCCCAACTCTGCATCCTAGAATTTTCTATGTCCTTTTTGTCTAGAGTGGAAAAGCCCCTCATTTACTCCCAGGAATTTCCGCATGTTCTTAATCTCCTTGCTCAAGACCCTGAACTGTCCAGGATGGGTGGGGAGGGCTGGGTGAAGGTGTCTATCAGCATGAAGGAGGTGTTCCATCTTAGGCAGGGGCTCCAGTGACTGTGATATTATAGAAGTCATATTTTGCATTTTATCCTTACGTCTTAAAAGAGGTCTTGCCAAATATTCTTCTAAAATTCAGATGTACTGTATTTAAAGCATCAGTAGAAATGAGTTATGTGAATGACTGAATGACTGATCTATAAACTTGTTACCTATTCAAAATACAAAGTGAAACAGCGATTGAGCTTAGTTTGATATGATTATTTTTCTTGTGTGTCTCCACTGTGCCATCCTGAATGATGGCAGCTTTTATTCTCCAGGGCTCCGGGGTATAGTGTTACATACATTTCTATTCTCCATTCACTATTTGAAACATGGGAATTTTTTTTCCTGTACTGGGGATTGAACTAAGGGCTTGATGTTGTGCTCTATCACTTGAGCCACACTGTCAGTCCTTTTGCTTTTAGTTTGTTTTTCAGATAGGGTCTTGCACTAACTTTGCCCTGGCTGGCTTCAAACCACCATCCTCCTGTCCACGCCTACCAGGAGCTGAGATTACAGGTATGTGCCACTATGCCCAGAAGAGCATGGTAATTCTTAAGGGAGTGCTGTGGTCCCTGGTTCTGTTGGAACAAAGACTTAAAGCAGGGGGCTGAGGATATCAATTGGACTTTTCTCCTCCTCCTCCTCCTTCTTCTTCAGTGCTGAGGATGGAATGCAGGGCCCCACACAAACTATGAGTAGTGTGAGTCCACAGATCTGGCCTTCCTACAAGATTAAGGACTGATTGATTTCAGCAATGAGTTATGTGATTTATTTCTGACACAAATTAAAAACAAGGGGCATAGGTGTGTGCTGAAGAGTTCAAGGTTTTTTTTTTTTTTTATTGCTGGGGATCACATCTAGGGCCTTGTGCAAGTGCTCTACCAGGGAGCTACATTCCCAGTACCAATTCAGGGTTTTTAGAGCCCATGTTAGTAAGAGTTTACTAATAAATGAAAAAATGGAGAAGCTGGAATTGCTTGACAACTTGGTACTGTCCTGATGTTTAATAATTCTGCTACTGGTCAGCCACATGCAAGAGTGAGGGATGAATGTGGGATGGGTGTACTTATACAGGTAAAAGTACTACCAACTTTTGACCACAAACTGAGGTCTTTTTCCCTCTCAGAATTTAGGGACCAATCCAAGATATAGTATTCACTGGGCAGAAAAGGAAAGTGTTATTCTTGGCTAAGAATAGAGTGAGAGATAGAAGAGCAAAGAAATTTTCACACTGTTGGGAGTCAGGAGGCTACAGATATTGGGTAAAGGAAATGAAGGAGAGGAACAGACTAATAAAGGAGGAATATCTATGTATTTTCTGTGAATGGGCAGAGATTTTCCAGGAATTCAGGTGCCACCTCTTTTTGTGTCTTTTATGGCTCTTTTTGGCCAATGGTGGTGGTATCATTTACCATGCAGATGCAATTATAAAGAAGTTAGAGGTTGTCTGGTGTTCACTCTGGTAGCTCTTTTCTATACAGCTGGTCTCTATTAGCCCACCTAAAGAGGAACTTCTGGCTTATAGGCACCCCATCTTCAAATATAAACAAGATTAGGATGGGGTAGACATTCATCTATGTCACCTACACAGCACAAGATTATGGCAGGGTAACACACAGGCCAACCTCTGACACTTTGTTTATGTGTCTTTATCATTTAACTATTTATAGTTAAATGAAATGATTTCATCATAGTTGTGTTACCATAACCAGTGACACTCCAGGAAGGAGTACTCCTAAAGGAAGAAGGCCTCCATCTGGCCTCTGGGTACAGAGTTCTTCATGTTGTCGCAAAAAAAAAAGAATTTTAGGGCACATCGAGTTAGAGAACAAGAGTTTCTTAGTAAAGCAAGGCAGAGGAAAGACAGAAATATAGTATTCAATCCAGACACAGGTGCGGGTACATCTGATAACAGGTGCAATGAGTGTGCTAACTTCAGGGGTATTTATGTTGAAAAAGTGGGTTTGGGTTTGGCTCAAATTTGCCTTAGGAAAGAGTGCTCCTCTTTGTTATGACGCCTGGTATATTTACTTGCTTTTGGAGTTACATTGTCTTATCAATTGGGCCCAAAGATTCGAAGGCTGGGTCACAATGACATAGATGTTTGAATACCCCTTTAAACAAAGGATGGGTCCTGCCAGATGCTCCCTTCAGGACAGGTGTCCATCCTTGAGATAAGTATTTTTCTTTGTAGACATTTGTTGTGCCCAAAGGAGTCATTTTCCAAAGACTTATCTCCCAGAATGTGTCTTTCATTATGATATCCTTGCTCAGTTCTCAGAGTGCACTAATTTCTTTTGGGCAAGTGGGCAAAATCAAGGGGAGAAGGCTGCTCTTTTTCCCAGTTTTTAATTTCCTTTTTAGTGAATGTTGCAGTTTGTTGAGGAGGTGTAAGGCTTAAAGCATAGAAAGCAGTGTCTATTTGTTTTTAATCAAGCTATTTGGTAGTACAATACTTATTTGTAAATTCCTGCCTGCTGCTTCCCATGCCTGAATCTTAGCAACAGTCAAGCAGTCATAGGCATAGCCTTAGCAAAGGAGAAAAGGCACTGATTTTGGAAATTAGTATTTACTGATTTCTGGGGCTTACCACTCTGTCTGCATGCTCTAGGGATGCTTCTGGCCCTGCCGTCACAGCTGCACTAATCGGAAGCCACAGCCCCTACTGTCTGATTTTGGCAGGTTGTTTTTCTGTCTTGTTTACTTGTTTGCTTTTGTCTCTGTTTAAGTTTTGCTTCTTGACTAAAAAGGCCCCTTCCCACCAAACTGCATGCCTTTGTTCCAAGAACTGAAATTTCAAGTAGCTTCTGTCAGCTTTACAAGTTCAATTATGTATATGTGTGGGAAATGGATTTAAAACATGCAACGGGGGAGATAGTCTAGAAACCTTTATGCTCTGAAAAATCATTTGTCCCCCTGAAATTTCCTTCAGTACAGTCTGAATTTTGCTCCTGGAAGGAATTGGTTTGTGATTGCTAGAAAGCATACATTTCACCCAAATATTAGCTACTGTCCTTTGGGACACGATTCTGTACCAGAATCCTTTCCTAAATTGTGAGGATGTTATTTGGACCTTTTATTAATTTATTTTTGGTGGTGGGTTTGAACTGAGGGCCTCCCACTTGCCAGGCAGGCACTCAACCACTTGAGCCATGCTCCCGCCCGGCCCGGCTTATCTGAACCTTTTAGAAGTAAAAATGACAGTGCGGGGAGTGAGGATCAGAGTAAGACCCAGAAAGCCAAGGACAGAATATTTTGATTTCCACGGGCCACCTCAGAGCTATTACAACATTGAACCAAGCTGAGACATAAAATATGCCTACAGAAAATTCTGCAACGTCCTGGCTTTTCACATGAGTTGTTCTTCAAAGATTTTTTTCCCCCCTTCAAAATCTGAATTTCTCTAAGAGTTTGTCGTTTGCTCCTGCTCGGTGGTCACCTTTAATATCTGCTTCCCAATGCTGTGAGGTGGGGGCTGTCTACCCCAGCATTCAACGAGCACGAGAGGACTAACACCGACCCAGGGTTTCGGCACCTGTCTGCATTTCACGTGCAGGAAAAGACCTGAAACTTGGAATGTCTCTCAACTAGGGGGAGACCAGCAGCTGCGACCCCGCGAACTTCGGGGGAGCTGTGAACCTCCAGGGACTCGCTCTGTCCCCGCCCGCCGCAGCAGACTCCGCGGAGAACCGCCCCGCCCCGCCCCGCCCCGCCAGGCCAGCACCCGGTCGCTGCCCCTCCCCCCGCCTACGTGAGGCCCTGCGGCGCAGGGGCGGGGCCTCGAGAAGCAACCAATGGGTGTTAGCCGGCCGGCTGGCCAAGGCACAGTTGCCTAGGCGACCAGCACGCGGCCCCGCCCGCCGGGCCAGGGCTCCCGCGCGCTGCAGAGTTCAGGCTGGAGTAGGAGCCCGGGTCTCTGCGCGCCCGAACGCGCGATGACCACGTGGAGCCTCCGGCGGAGGCCGGGCCGAACACTCGGACTCCTGCTGCTGGTTATCTTGAGCTTTCTGGTGCTCCGCAGGTGAGAGAGAGCCCCGCCTAGCACCTGCGGGACTCTGCACATCCCAATCTTGCACACCTCGGGTGCTCAAGTCGCTAATCCCGAGTTCCCTCGGGAAGCAGTCCCCGCCCTTTCTTTTTTCTTTTGGAGCTCTGCAACATCCCGGAGTCCTTTTGCGCCTCCAGGAACTCTGATCCTGCCTGGAGATCCAGGCCTGTCCGTGACACCTGCCAGGCACTGCCCTTTGAGTCCCCAGGCGTCAGCAATGTAGAGCTTTCCAGTCCTCAGCACCTGTGATGCTGGGCTCTGCTACTCGTGGACAGTCAGTCCTCTGGGGAGATCGGCAGAACTGGTCTCCACATCTCAGACGCCGCCCATTACTGCTCTGCCTAACAACCTCCTGCTTTTCTCCCAGACCCCCACAGTTCGTCCCAAGTCTGCAGGGAGTCTTCTCTATGCCCCAGAGACCAGCTCCCCAGCTCCCACAGCCTTGGTCGATTTAGTCCGACCAGTACGGTCACCAGGATGCTTCCAAGAGTCCTCCTAGATCTTTGGCCCTGATTTATTTTCACCATGCTAGTGTTGGTAAATGGATCTTTTCTCTTTCCTTTCACCATCACCAGAGTATTCCTACCCCCAACCCATTTGCAAAACATTGTTTATGGCAAGTTGTAGGATCCAGTGATAGAATGATTTGCCTACCGGCTGTGTAAAAAAGTCTTCTGGGTGGGTGCTGTACCCTATTATTTTTCCAAACTATATCTATTTATAGGAGCCTATAGCCCTGACCATCTTTCAGGTCGATGCCTGGCACTTTCCATATTCAAAACCTGCCTTGTTGCTAGGAAGCAGACCAGCGGCATGGAATGGTCTGGTGTTGGACTTGAGGAGCCACTGGAACTGATGGTGGGCACACCACCCTCAGCTTTGGCTTTGTCTTCTTTTCTGCCCCCCTTTTTCATTCTCTGGACTTCACTTAGGATACAGGGATTTTTTTAAATGGATATAAAGATCTGAGGTTTTTTTTTTCCCCTACCAGAAGAACACAGGTAGAAACTCTTTACATTTACACTGTTTCCAGACATACATTCCTTCTTTGTTTCTGAGATTGTGAGGATGTCATAAGATTTGTTTGGAAGAAGAGAAATGGATCTTTTCTCACTCTGGGACCCAGAAACCTTAGGAGGCATTTCATTTCCCTATTTATTCCCAAGACTTTTCCCATCTTGATAATGATCTCTAGCTTATTCTTCTTTTAAAGATTAGTCCTGGCTTTTGTAGAAAACTCAGGTTTCTGGGAGACACAAGGCTGATGCAACCCCCAGAAGAATCACTGAGGGCAGAGGCAGCAGGAGCATCTTGTATACAGCAGGTGTTAAGAAGCCTGGGCTCCAGAGAGGTGCAGGTGGCTGTTGTCAAACAGGAGTGTAGCTGTCTGTGCACGGGTCCCAGACAGGTCACTGTGAGAGGCAGCATCAAAGGGCTTGGGACTTGTCAGGTAGCATACTATTATAGTCCCCAGGAAAAGGTATGGGAAAGAGGCTGGGTGTTTGTTGTTTTCTGGCAGGTCAGAGATGAGGTGTCAGGGAGCTGACTGGGCTGTCAAGAAGCCTGATCTCCTGACAGGTGAGTTAACTGTGTCTCCACCCAGGTGGATGGCCACAGTAGGGTTCAGGCTGGGGCCTGTGGAGTGGCTGAGGAATGGCAACAGAGAATAAATAGCTGTGACTCAAGCCTGAATGTACTTTGAAATGCTTAGGAAAGTTGTTTCTGCTACCCCTTCTTTCTCAGCAGGTAAGACAGAGGCCAGAGAAGCTCTGAACCAAGTTCAGAACCATCTTTTAGGAGCCTTTAGAGTACATGTCTTTTGGCATTTTTTTGATTGTTTCATTCTCATGGGTGTTTTCTGCCCAATTCCTTCTGTCTGACTTTGGCTGTACACCTGTGAGTATGAGTTGCTCTAATAGTTCTGGAGGTGGGAGGGAGGAGACTCTTTGCCTTTCCTTCTTCCTGGCTTACCCCAGCCTTGACAAGGTCATTACTTGAGTGGGAGGTGGGTGCCTCTCCCAGCTGTTGTTGGGGAATGTTGGTGTGACCAGTGAAATATATAGGTCACATGGAAACTGGCCCCTCAGCTCACAGCTTTGTGGTGCCCAGCATCAGAACCAGCTCTTCTCCTGAACTTCAGAAGGCATGTATTTGGAGGGAAGCTGGGAGGGCAGGTGTTTGGTTTCTAGATTTCTTTTTTTATTTTCCTAGAAACTTTTCCTTTAGTTGATTCATGATCAACCATAGCTGTTGATTATATGAAATCTAAGAAATAAGAGAACCAGATTGGCTTTTGGGGAGGATTTCAACCTTAGATTTTATTTTTTCAGCTTGAGCAATGATTTTTCTTAAGAACTACCTTTACTCAAGTACAATAAGTATACATAGTTGATAAGCTTTTAATATATCTATATATCTGGATATAGATATATATTTCCACCTGGGAAACTACCACCACAATTAAGATCATGATAATATCCATAAGCCTCCCAAATTTCCTTGTTCCTTTTTGTTATCTCTCTCTTTCCCTCCTCCTCACTCCTAGCCCCAAGTAACCACTGATTGCTTTCTGCCACTGTGTGTTGGTTTCCATTTTATAGAGTTTTATTGAAATGTAATCTGAAGTGTGTACTCTTTTTTGGCTTCTTTCACTTAGCAGTTACTGTGAGATCTATGATGTGTATATCAGTGTGAGCCTTGCCTTTGAGCCAGTTGCCTTTCCTCTTCCTTCTTCCTTCTACTCCTTGAACACAAGAATGCCTGCTTGATATGATCAAGGTATGGCTCCCACTGTGATTTTCCCCTTAATATAAATGTATCACTGAACAATAATTTATTCAGCCTTGCATCTCTCAGGCCTGAAATTTTAGCTGGTAAAAGTTGAGAGAGAAGAAAACCTCCAGTAAGCAGCCAGAACTAAGCTCCTATAAAGGATAGATTCATTTTCTCTGTGTCATTCACTATTCCTGCACAGCTATTATTGGGGTTCTAAAAACTCCAAGCTCTTCCTGAGGAAAGAAAATGGAGAAACCTATTAAACTCTTTGATAAAGGCAGATAACTTAGCAATGCAGGTCACTTTCTTTGATCCAAATCATAGCCTGTATTCCAAAACTATGTGGACAAATTGTGCCTGTCTTTCTGAGCTTCTGTAAGGTTATTGATTTTATGAGCTTTGCCTACTGTAGGACTCTACTCTGCTTGAGGCGTGAGTCATAGTCCCTGGAATGTTCAAACTCTTTGCTGCTCTTTCATCTTCTAGTGGTGAAGTTTTCAGCATCCAGGAAGTGTCTCTTCAGCAGGATTCTTATAGCGTCATGCTAGCCAATCACAGAAGGAGACTAGAGTCATCTTGGAGCATTGACGTTATCAAATTTGTAATATAAAGGGTTAGGAAGTGGGGGGAGGGGGGAGAAATGACCCAAACATCGTATGCACATATGAATAAAATAAATAAATAAATAAATAATGCTGCTGAAGCTAAAAAAAAAAAAAGGGTTAGGATGCAAAGAGATGCAGAGCCTCAGCAGCAGATATATCAGAAAGTTGGTGAAAAGGTTGTTCCCACCTTAGGTCAAGGAAGTAGCAAGTGAAATCAAAGTACTTAGTCTTTGATGAACTGACAGAGTTCCATTATGTCAACTCAAATGCTTCTCTAGAGAAGAATTCAGGAGATGCTGGAGTTTGGAGAGTGAGTTCAGGACATTTTGTACCTGAAAAAGACTGGAACCGAGGATCTGCCTCTGACTCTTCCAGTCTGCCGTCTCAGCAGAGGCAGAGTTCTTTTAGCATGGGGATATTTGCTGTTTCCTTTCCACTCAGCCTTTACTTTTTCTTAAATCTGCTGCTCTGCATGTTGAAGGCTATATTGTAAAAGAGATCTCCTTATGTGCAACTGCTCCTGGGATGGAAGGGCAGTCACAGTAAGGAAGCAAATACTTCTTAGCTGGTATCTGCCTGTGGGAAAGTCAGTGGATACTCACTGCTCTGTATTGACACTCAGCAGAACAGTGGGGTCACTCATTTCAAAAACAGATTGTGTTTTCCATAAAAATTTAATATGAGAAGAGGTAATGGTAACTATTCAGAGGATAAAAGGGGATCTAATGAAAAGAAAGTCTGTCTCCCGGCCCCTAGGAACCCTTTCCCCTCCCTCCCAATAGAAGCATTGCGGATAATGGCTTCTTTTAGAAGTATCCTATATAAGAAGATAGCTATATGTACTCTCCCGTTTGTCCATTAGACACATAATTTATTTAAGCAGCCCTCTATTGATGGGCATTGATTGTCTGTAATCTTTTAGCTACTAAAGTAAATAGAGTCACAATGAATTATCTGTTGGGTATATTTCTATAAATAGAATTGCTGATCATAACCAATATTCATTTTAAATCTTGGTATTTTCAAAATAGCAATTCCAATTTTGCTGGTTCAGTGCAAAGGAGATTTTGAGCTGAATTCTGTTGTCTAGAGAAGAAATTTCGTTTATTTATTTTAGGGCAATATAGCTTCCTTGGGTCTTGTAAAAACTAACCCATCTCTCAAATACCTTTGTCAATGTGATGTGTTGTTTGCTATTTCATGAAATAATTCCATTTAGACTCTCAGAACATCTTCAAGATCAGAGGGTTGCTTTTAAAAGAAGAGCCCTTTTGAATCATCAGACCTTTCGCTTTTCTTTAGGCTGAGACATAATTCATCAATTAATGAGGCTATCAATGGAAAATTTTCCCATAGTGAATGTATAACATCACAGAACATCCCTGTAGTGGTTGCTGTTGTTATGTGTTGAGTTACTAATGAGGAATTTTGTTATTTCACTGTTGGACCTCAATGTGTTGGTCTACTCCAGGCTTCATGTACATGGTTCCTGCAATATTTACAAAGCATTGCCCTCTGAAACACAGTATTGTTTAATGGTCAGGTAGGTAGGCACCTGGCCTGATTCCTGGAGCTTAGGTGCTGACTAGTTCC